ATAATAATAATACACGTGCACAGAACTATCTCCTGCGTTATAATCTTACTTTCCTTCGTCGAAAGGCACATATTGTAACTGAAGAGCGCGCATTTTTTAAGAAGACCCCAATGTTTTTCGATTGAACAGTACGAGCGGCGGGCGTGGAGAAGGGAAAAAAGGGCGTAGTAAGTCATACGGAGAGGCTCGTACGTCATACTTCATCCGGGCCAACGGAGCAACACATGGAAAGGGTTCTCTCCATATACAAGAAACGCACTCACTTGGGCTGCCTCTTTAGGTCGCTGTGCTATAGTGTGAGGTTTGTGTTACATGTGCCTGAGTTTCGTACACCTTTATACATAGAAGAGATCCGAACCGCTCGATCACCTGTGTACAATATGCCCGCCTACACTCGACGCATATCCGTCATATAATCTTTTAATAATTCGCAAAAATTAATTTTAAGATACATACGGATTGATATACAAAAGCAAACTGGTTTAATGGTGAATACCATTTTTATCGTATTCTCCCTTTTCATTATATTCTCTTAATCGTCGATATCTTTAATTTCATTATAAAATACACATAAAAACATTATAAAATAAGATATTCTGATAATATAATAATGATAATAAATGTGATATCCTTTATATCAATCAAAAGAATAACTTTGTTTATTTGTACTATTTTTAATAGTACTAATAACTAATAGACATATTTATTTTAGACTAAAACTAATAGACATATTTATTTTATAGGTGATGATGCTAATAAATTGCGCAAAGAAAATCTCAAATTTGTGCAAAGCTGAACTGGAATATTTCTGTTTCGTAAAAAGGGAATCTTACGATTCCTGAAGATTGGAGCTGATCTTCAGTAGTACGAGAGTAGAACACTGTATTACCGGCAAATCTCGTAAACGGCCATAACAGCAAGTGGGGGTTCCTTCCTGAGAAGGAGGGATAAACGAGCCGAGCCACGATTTCGTTGTCGTAAACGTCAAAGTTACGGTTACAGCGTTGTTCCTAGTTGCTTTATATTGAACGAGGTTGCTCCCCGAGGTACGTAACACCTACCTACTCGCAACCGTCGTATTGCAGAAAGTAGCACTATGCTCCTTTCCAACTCGGGAATGACGCGGTTACCACGTGGCTTTTACGCGGGAATTCGGCAGAGGAGTTCAAGGTTCGTTGAATATCCTTTTAACCATACTACGTCCTACGTAATATTAATTTTCTTTTTGTAATTTATATAGTAACAAATATATTATGCTTGTTCAAATAAAAATTAACATAGATTACCATCTTGGTTCTTTTTTATCTCTTTGATTTAAATTGATACAAATTGCTGAATTGCTGATTTGCAAAAATTGTAAATTATATTATATTTACTTTTTTTTAATCAACATTTATTTAAATTCAACGGAAATACAGAATGTAAACTTTGAAAACGGAAGCTATATTAACGGCACGTTCATCCGACATATTTATCTTGATTAATATTCCTGTATCAAGTTATCATCCCTTAATGTAGCTTTAAAAAGGATACTTTTTTAGATTTGTGTCGTAAAAGAGGTTCGCTCTCAATAGACTGAAATGAAGAGATGCCTAAATAGCACCCCAGCCTCTATCGTCGCGCCCTCTAATTACCCTGTAGACGCAGTCACCCCTCAATGAGGAGTGATAAATATTGTTCGCGTTTGAGTATATCCCGAGAAAGTGAATCAACTCTATAAAGAAAGGTATATATACACATATATTTCCCATTGCTATTAGCAAGCATTATTTACAGATATTTACTGATAAAGATTATTTACTGATAAAATGCTTTTAATTTAAAGATTTCCTATTTTTACTAAGAATAGAACAAAATTAATTTCAATATTTATATATAAAATATTAAAAAATAGATTTAAAATATAAAGACGGATAGTATTTATTAAACTGAAATCTACTTACAAACTATCTGCAAAAAATACATGAAAAAATTATTTAAATTAAATATTATTTCTATTTTCGATAGTCCTTTTTTTATTATTGATTAAATATTTATATATTTTTTGCTTAAGTTAATGAATATATTATCTTTATATTTATCTTTATATACTTTAAATTTTTTATCGTCATATGTATCTGTTATTAAATTAAAATCGTATTGATACAGGCGTGTTAAGTATACATTACAAGATCGAAGATAAATAAAAGTAGATATAAGTTACCTATAACACATTAATTCTATTGCGCGCGCGTGCCATAAAGCGCTAGCTTCCTAAGCGATTTACGAAATGCCAATTAACAAAAAGGAAATAACAACAATATATACGTAAACGTTGTAAATATTTTTCATTAAAAAAAACAGAATTATAAACTTATTCTTTTAATCTGAAATATATATTATAATAGACTTATATTATGGACGGCTATCTACCGCTTTCATATTTATATGAATTGGACGTATAATCGATCTCGTAATCGTTTATCATACATTTACGATACACAAAGGTGTAGTTAAAAGCGCGATAAATTAAACGACAGATGCAGTATTTCATACTAGCATGCATTCTAGCTATATAATTATCTTTACCGCGATAAGTATTTAAAGAATGAATAGAGACAATAGACATATACATCAATTTTTAGCATTTCGTAATAGCTGCGGTAAAGGTTTAAATGGTAAGACTTGTAATATCTATCATTATATTGTGCCACAATATAAGTTATAGTGTATTACAATTAAATCAATATAAGTAATACATAGTCACATTTTGCATCTTACGTTTGAAAGAGATTTTTAAAGTGTTAATTAGACATTTTATATAGTAAAGAGCAACGTAAAACTTTATAGTGTCAATATAGTGATCATAAATTATACATATATCACCTAATCTAAATATGATTATTCAAAATATTATAGAAGCTACGACGTGTAAATTAATTTTCTACAGCCGAGGCTATAAATTGGGATCATTCATCATATACAATGATAGATGATTGCCGATAGACATTGATAGCTCTATATTTAACTGCAAATCTACGACAAATTAATCCATAATCCTGTACCGATAAATTTTCCTATGTGATCGATTTAACGACACTGAAAAGCACTTGTTAGAGAGTACGAAATGAGTCAACGACTTTCAATCTGCGAGTGCATAGAACCTGTTATACGAGTATGCGGCTGATCAAATGCTTTTACTCATTCCTACGATTCCTACAATCACTGCGTTCCATGTATCATCGAGGCAATTTGCAAGCCATAATCAATGATCCGAAACATTCAATTGCTTACAATAAAGATGAATGGAAGTAATTCCTCTAAATCTTTAAACAGATGATAAGTAAAAAAATGTTGATTTAAGTAAGATAATAATTTCGTTTATGCATGTGTATGTACACTCGCGTATTTTTCATAAATGCTACAATTCAGAATTTATAAATATTAGAATAATCAGAAATTCTTAAGAAATGATAGTTTTTATAAATAATACAATATAACATAATAACGACAAGATATACATACATTTAAATGTTAAAAATTATTTCTTGAAAAAGAATATGGAAATTCATGTTGTAGAGTTTATACATTATAAAATCCATCGAATAGTATTTTAATGTTTCTTAAAACATAATCCCTTCCTTTATATGTAAAATATCTCTTGCAGTCTAAGATGAAGAAAAAAATAGGTGACCCTTAAATCGGACCGAAAAAAAAACAATAAAGAAGACTCCCGTCGAGAAGGAAGAGCTAGAGGCGGTTTTGAGCAAAGAAAAAGAATAAATATAAAAAAAACTGCTAGCTTTCTAAGGGCCTACTCTCAGCTGAGTTAGTAAAGAAAGGTCTCACCGAAAGTGCGATATCATCCATGAGGCCTTGATTATATATCTACTAACGGCAAAGCAGAAGGTTATTCGAGAGTATCTCTCTCGCAATGAAAAGGACAAAGACATCGCTAGAAACAGCTGACTACCGGAATTCGGGGTTCCGGTGGGGTGAGTACAGTGGGGAAGGCACTTGAACCCCCAATTGGACGAGGACTTCCCCATTATACCCAACGTACCCAACGATTTTACACGCACTTGACTCCATTCTACCTATCTAGCAGACATAATTTTGCCAAGGTACACGGCCGATTTTCCACAACATCGCCCGCGCGCGTTGACATTGTACATACGGAAATAAAAAACTCGTGGAATTTACATTTAATACGAAAATGTATGGAAATGTGGGGGTAAGACTAGCAATTTAAAAGCAATTATAAGCACACATTTATTACTATTATATTCGTTATTATGCTATCAAATAATAATTTTCGTGTTCAGCAATTAAGAAACTACGAAAACTAACTACATTAGAAGCGACAATAGTAATTTTAATTTTACATAAAAAAAATTTCGAAATATTCTTATTAATTATTGTACATGCGATACTTTAATATCGTTTTTTTTACGGCTCTTCAATCTTTAGTACACTTTAGTTGCTATTAATATAATCTTTTTGTCATCATATTTATTTGACCAGAAGGTAATGAAATGCTTTTAGTTTGTCAGCGATTGTAAATCTGTTATCTCGAGTTTTCATGATGGACATGCCGTATTTCAAAACGATGCACAAATAGACTATGCAAAAAATTCTATCGCATTCGGCATGGTAGTATGATAAGCTGTATTCGTCGTATATCTACATCTTCCGCTTTTTTGTAAACAAAGGAAGGGTGAAATAACTCATCGTGTTGACGCGGACGCAATAGAAAATTTTTCATCCATTTGGATTTATTCGTGATACATGTGAAACATTCTATTCTATAATTCCGCACGACTTCTAGGTAATTTGATCGCGTGGAAGCAATTTTAACAATTTAGTCTGGTATAACCAGACAGGCAAGCCTGATCCACCACGCCTTCCCGACCACGTGGTCGTCGCTCCCCACGTTTCCCCTAACCATAGTGGCTCCTATATTTCATCGCGGCTGTTATGATAATAGTCGTATAAGAGAGCATTTATGAATGCAAACTCACCTGCTATAGCCATCCAGGGGTAGAAGGTATGGTTGCTGGTAGGTTGCTGATGTAGTTGCGTAGCGACCGGTTGACTCGCGGACGAGTTTAAACTGCAGGTGTTCCAAGACGACGTGAGGGATCTTGACGAACTATTGTTACCAGGACTCGATGCTGGATCACCGCCTACGAGACCACCGTAGCTACTAACCCTTGTACTCTCTGGGGTACACGCAGAGGGACGTACGACCGAATTACTCTGGCTGTTCGCTCCTGAGGTCGCTGACTGCCAAACGTCCTTGACCGCCGCCGCTGCCATCACCGCAGCATAGCCGTTTTGATGGGTCGACGTTTGATCCTGTTGCTTACAGTCTTTCGTTGCCGTTGTTGAATATGAAGACGTGGTATGACCAGTTGCTTCAGGTGTCGTTGAATAAAGCTTGCAAGCCGTCGCAACGCTCGCGTCATATGGCGAGTCTTGAGGTGGTCTTGTATTGCTTCCACCGCCTGGGTGTATTCCTAACGAGGATGATGTGTGATGATGATGCTGCGCCGAAGCGTAAGGCGACATACCTAATCCGAGTGGAAAGCTTCGATACGCTGCTGCGGTGGCTGGATCATGATGCTGACTTGCCGCTCCTGCTTGATGATGGTGGCTTCCGTAGAAGCCACCCGCGGTCTGCTCAAAGTACGAGTTCATTATCCCGGGTATTTTGGATCACTTTCACTAAAACACCGGCACTGAAGAAAGAAGTCAGAGTTCAAACGGCCCGCAATTACATGGAGTGCACACGGCTAGTCGAATTTTACTAGTCCGTACTCCAACTTCGATGCCGAATTATCCCGATTTAATTTCTTCAAATTAAACAAACATAAAACTTCCGATATTGTACTATGTTACGAGTTGAGATACACTTAAGAAAACGATATCCTATTTGACACGAATGGCGAAAGAGGATAAGATTGACGAAGGGCAAATAAAGGAGCATTAAACGATTTTAAGAGGTCATAAAAGTCATTGGCAGGTATAGCTGGTTACACCAGGAGTGTCAATGTCAGTAGGCCATAAGAGTGTAATTCAGAATGGGTTTCATGTCAACGGTGAAAGCTTTTATGGTCTTGTTATGGTTACCGCTACGGGCAAAGCATAAACTGGTGGTCTCGACTATGGAAACAGGCGATGATCGTTAAACCGTTACGATGTAATAAACTTAGGTAATAAGACGGGCTATAAAATGGCTTGTGGGTTCCTCTACCGCGTGCTCGCCCGACGACGGTTTGGTCAGCCGGCACGCGACCACCCTCGCGGGCGATTCTCTCTTTCTTCCTCTTTTGGAAATAAATTAAAAATCGCGATTGATCAGGTCGAGGCCTTTTGAAGAGCCAGTCGATCTGTTACAGAATCAAAAATGACTCCGCACTGCACTAGCACTTGTCGTATCGTGACTTCGCTGATGACTGAGGTCCGGTACGAATCAGAGGACGATGGAGATCGTAACGAATCACGGTATGCCAGTGCGGTGGTCCACGGCACACTACCGCTTTTCTCGCGCCCCGTGTACCGCCACTCTGTACCGTCGTCCGTCTCTTGCTCGCTCGTTCACCTCGTTTTGTCTCTGTTCTTCATAGTCGACTTCTCTCGCACTCTCTCCGAAGTTTCCTTCCTCGTTCTACCAATCACCGTTTCTCCATGCACACACACACTCTCTCTCTCTCTCTCACTTTCCGTCACGGTCACTCCTTCCCATTCGTGTGGTTGTCGCTTCTCGCTCACGCGTACTCTTCCTCCAGAGTACTACGTCCTAACGGAGAGATCGCAGTGCCGTATCCCTCTTCGTCCCTCATATACCATCCCCCTCCTGGTACGATAACTGAGCTCTCTCGCTCTATCTACCGTCGTTGTTGTCCCCCTCTTCCACCCTCAACGTTCTCCCCACAATTGCTCTCTCACCCTCTGATTCTGTCTCGCTCCACCTCTCAACGATATTCGTTCTCTCCCTTCCCATTCGAGCTATCCTCTCCCTCTTTCTCACAATACGATTCCTCAGTGCCCCCTATCGAGCGTTCCAGTAACTCTACGACGTACCGCCAGATTAAATTCGTACTCGCTCGCCGTGCGCGTCACATTTGAGACGCGCGACAGATAAGACGGTGCGAGATGGAAAGAGAAAAGAACTTCTCTTCCCGCGATACGAAAGAAAGGGAAGAGATGAGATAGGAAATAGAGAGGGATGAAAGCACGTAAAGACATGAGCAGAAACGAATAAGAAGGTGGGGAAGAGGGAGGTAAAGAGGAAAAGAAAGAACGTTATGCGCAATTGCAACAGCTAAGAGTGAGACGAAACGGAGCGAGTGCTGTTGCGATAGTGACGAGGAGGGAGAACGTGCCGCTAAGGGAGGAGGTTATACTTAAGGACCAATCAGAATTGAATTCGTCACGAATACCGCGCTGGTGTGGCATGAAAGTTCCTACGCCGTGTGAAAGTAGTTCCAAGTTGGAACGACGCCCATGAACGGCTAGGCACCGCCCCGCAGACCCCCACTACCAAAGCGCGCGAGGTACCGGCACGCTGTGTCCGTACCGTACTGGAGAGAAAGAGAAAGAGAGAGAGAGAGAGAGAGAGAGAGAAAGAGAAAGCGAGAGAGGAAGAGAAATGGAGAGAACCGAGCGTCACGCAATGTTTCTGCCTTCTCTTTCTCTCCTCTGCATTCGTTCGTGGGGATACGTGTACCGCCACCTTTCAGTCTTGTAGCGAACTAATCTCGCCAGATCCATTCAGACATTCAAACGACCAACATCAACGAGCTATCTCGCGATTATCGTTATTGCGGTAGCATCGTCGTAAATTCATCGTGACACAGAATAACCTGATCGACAAGTTGTACACTAAATGAGATAGTAAACAGGTTTAGGAATGAAAAGCATTATGAAACACCTCGATAATATTTAAGATCGCATTAGATCGAACCGGTCTGATATCGAGGATACTTGATGATGCGAGGATAAATGTAATGATATTATCATGAATGTCTTTTATGAGATATATCGTTGTTTTACGGATCAATTAAATGATGATCGTACAATTAAAATGTCGTAAAAGTGAGCTCATAAGGCCAGTCAAGCAAGGAACTTCTACGGCGCGCGCCACTAGTATCGGGAGTGTTTATTGGGATGTAAATGTCGCTGGATTATCGTTCCCGCGGTTCGCACCTCGTAAATTATTCCGTAACGAGCCGAGTAATGCCCATCATAAGCTGCTCGCCGGAGCTGACCCTAGTTATTTGCTTACGCGCTCTTGCCATTATGAACGCTTAGAGTATTAGCCACCTACTTTACTTTTAAAAATACACGACAGTAAAAGATATCTAATTTCTAGAATATTTTTAATATCTAAATCGATATAAATGCAAAATGGTTGGATCATTCCAAGGAAACGAAACGACATACACATGTTTAAACAATCTGCTAAACAATCAACTGTATAGAATTTAGTTGTTACACATCCTACTTTTTTATTAATAAATAACATAGATAGTAAATATAAAAATGTAATATATACATAATCATAGAGCTATACTTCCATTAGATACCTGTAGTGTCTTGTAGGTACACAGGTACATTACGCATTATCGATCGCTCGTTGAAAAATCTTACAAGTGTATAAATCATATAACAGCTTATTAAGCTTTTAATTTGATGAGGTGCCGTTGATGAAGACTCAATGCAGTTTTCGCTTTTGCGAGACTCCGACAGGTGGCAGCCCGTTTACTTGAAAATCATGACGGCAATAAACTTCGGTTTTATGACCACTTGAACAGAATCGTAAAAGTCAGGGCCTTTAAGCTTATAGCGTAGTAGGGCGCGTGTCGAATATGGTGGGGGCGTGAGGAAAGTCACTATATGAATGGGGAAGGTGTAATGGGCCATATGTGATATGGATGTCCAAAAATGGGCCTAAATGTCTTTTTTAAAACGGCGAATGACTAGTTTCAAAGATACTCTTTGGTGTCAAATATCGTTTTAATGATTTAATAAATTTACTGATAAAAGTCAATTCAAATACTTACTATTTATTTGTTATTACGCTGTTTCGATAAATTCCGTCATTGTGATAATGTAATCTAGTTTTAAATTACAAGCTACTCAGGTAGCAAGCTAATGTTAGTTATCGTTAGTATGCTAATTAGGAATACAAATTAAGTAATTAAATTATATGTATTATTATATCCCAATATTTTACGCGAAAAATGGAAACAAATATTATCAATAGAGACTTAGGTATCACTAATTATTAACATAAAAATCCATACAAATAATATGACGTACATTCTACAGATCTTCAATAAAAACCAAGGTATTGAAACGAGAGTTTCGAAGTAGGGATTAGGAGACGTATGAAAAGACGAACATGAAAACGAAGAGGCCATTGCACCCGAGTTGAGCAAATCTGTGCTCTTGCTAAGCATTCATTCCTCATCGCTCTGGTGATTTTGGCTCGTCCACTTTCTTCCAAGCAGTGGTTCAATGCACTATTTAGACGTTTATTCTGATTGAAGTTTTCTTCGTTGTTTCTATTTCATCGCTCTTTATTTTGCACATTCATACTCACTTACAAATTGTATCTCTTTTTTGTATTTAATTTAGTAATATTTAATCAATAGACATAATACTAATATTTTAAGATAAATATTATAGGTATCGTTTTTCTTTTTCGCATTAATGAAATATTCTGAGAATCAAAAACGAAACGTGTATGTGTGACGCCGAAAACTAAATTAATAAATTTGATAATATTTTCTTAAAGAATAATAAATTCCGTTTTACTCAATTTTTTTTAATTTAGAAAGCAAAATGTTAAATATAGCAATATAGCTAATTTGAAGCTAATATAAATAACTAAAAATTTCTTTAATTTTGGGAGTATTAAAATAATATAAAATAAAATCTTAACAGTTTTCTTAATTATATAAAATAATTTAATTTTTACTGACTCTCTAAATATTTAATTATATAAAAATGTAATTTTTACTGACTCTAAATATAATCTTAAATAAATCGTATTTTTACAATAGCTTTTCCAACTAAACAATATCATTCTTATTAATTACATCACCAAAAATTAAAAAGAAATGATATTGATTAGCGCACAACATATTGATCGGCAGCACATCAGGAGTAAAGATAGAATTGCATAGTAAGGATTCGGAAGATGCTTCCTTTGCCATCTGGTGGTCCTTTGTGTCATCATCTGATTGCGAAAGGTGCACCAAATTTTCTGCAGTTTTCGCAGTCG